ACGGGAAACTTTCTTTTCATTCTACTGGTCCAGCTTTGTTCATTTTACATTGTTCTTCACTCATTATCCTCTACACGGGAAACTTTCTTTTCATTCTACTGGTCCAGCTTTGTTCATTTTACATTGTTCTTCACTCATTATCCTCTACACGGGAAACTTTCTTTTCATTCTACTGGTCCAGCTTTGTTCATTTTACATTTTACATTGTTCTTCACTCATTATCCTCTACACGGGAAACTTTCTTTTCATTCTACTAGTCCAGCTTTGTTCATTTTACATTTTACATTGTTCTTCACACATTATCCTCTACACGGGAAACTTTCTTTTCATTCTACTGGTCCAGCTTTGTTCATTTTACATTGTAGGCGTTAGCAGCTACACAAAGCATATTTTATGTAAGAAATTTAAATGGAATTGGTGACGGACGGGAGGGTATGCAAGATTTATATATTGTATGTCTCCAGACAATGGTTCTGAATGAAATATTCGATTTGGAATAAATTCGACTGTACAGCAATAGGTATAAAAATAGATGGATAAATATATTGGGATGTACAGCAATAGGTCACGTGATTTAAACGAAGTCGTCAAACGGAGAAGAGGCTTTTTCTTCTATTCCCACTGGACCACCCTACTCCTCCTTCTTGACTACCACTTCTGTAGGATGACAAAAAGAAAGACGAGCCAGTGACATCTCATTATAAACCAGTAACTGCAGACGTGGCTGTTTGAAGCCGGAGAAAGAATCCTAACATCTTCTAGTCATGGCTGACGTCAATCAAGAGTAGTGAATAATCTAATGACTGCGGAAGGAAAGTTGGAAGAGCTCGAGGTGAGGAGTGACGACATCAGCTGTTGCCTGGAAACGACAAACTATGTTCGGTGACGTTAATTAATACTGAGCTTGCTTGACCACTTTGTGATTGTTGAGGACAGCGCAATGGTTCTTTTTCTCCGAAGGCCATTCTTAGTTATTTCGATTTACTCACCACCCGATAAAGAAAATTTGGAAGATAACTGTTGTTG